ATATATATGAACATTCTGACATAATAGTAGCCATGAGAGGGGGCAAGAGAAGTAAATTAAGGGATTTAATCAAGAGTTTTACAGGATTGGATTTGTGACTTCAAAAAAGAGTCATCAATTTCTGTCTTTTATTTTTATAATCTCATACTCATTCCATTCCTACCAGGTATAGTCTGTGGCTCATATTATGTATGATCGAAAGAGAATAAGATCAGCAATGAATACATTAATTGGAAGGCTTTAGCAGTGATATACGTGGGAAATTATGGTCAGTTGGATGACAGTTCTGATGACGGAGAAGGAAAGCAGTGTCAGTATCTGTATGATAGGAGGTAGTAACATCAACATGGCTGAGTGGTTTGGATATGAGGAATGAAGAAGATGAGGAATAAAAAATAATTTTTGTATGGCTGGGGGTCTAGCTTGGTGGTAGAGTGCTTGCCTAGCATGCATGAGGCCTTGAGTTTGATTTCTAGCATAACAAACAAACAGACAAAAAGATAAAACCCCCAAACAGAAACAAAAATAGAACCCTGAAACCCTGCTGCTCTCTAAACCCAATACTAGATTTGTCGCTAGTGTAAATGGATGTGTGATACCATTCATAGAAAAACCTTGGGAGAGAGGCCATGATCTGAGTTTTAAATGTTCTTATAAGTGACTTTTTAACAGAAATATTGAATAAGTATGTCAAAGCAAAAGCTAATATAAGAATGATAAGGGATGTCTTGGCACAGATGGGAACGTTTAGGATGACGATAGAGTGAAAGTGCCTTTAACCAGATCCTGAGAAAATTTAACACGTTTTAGGGTACACTTTCTGTTTTGCTACTTCTTGTACATCCTTTTTTTTTTTACTTTTAAAAAAAGAACTGTTGCAAAAGGGAAGAGGAAGGAAGGGAGGATAGGGAAAGTAATATAAAAAGAATTAATATGTGTTATGTACATATACCAACTTACCACAATACATGCAATCATTATAGTAAGTCCCGGATTTACAGACAAGTTCCATGCCTGGAGAACGTTCATAAGTCAGAATCATTCATAAGTCCCACAAAGTGGGTGTGGGACGAAAATACACAATAAATATTTCTTTGTGTTTCCTAGCAGTTCCCTACACCTCACCCCTGCTTTCCCACTTGCTCCCAGATGTTCTGGGCATCTGGGCTCTGACTGAGCACTGTACCAATGTACACTACTGCACCATAAGTAAGCACACAGTAGCACTACTATGACAATGTCTGGCAGACATTGCTCGTTGCTGTGAGCTGCTTGCATCTACTAACGTGAGGTTTCAAATGTAAGTTTGTACAGTGTGTGTCTGCCCATCACACAGTGTGTTTTCTACACATCATGCAAACTCAATCACAAAATGGCATGTCAGATATGTACACGCAGGACCTAAAAGAACACATCCAGCTAAGCTGGATGTGTTTAATTGAGAATGACTTTGTTCTTTGCTTCTTGTGTTTTTGTTTCCTGTAATACATATATTAACTTTAAAAAAATAAAAATTATTTTTAAAACTCATGAAAAAAGAAATGTGAGGTTTGAAAATGTGAAAGTTGGCAACTCAAACGGTCAGAAGTCAGGGACTTACTGTACATATGTACTGCAAACATGCATTAATAAAAAATAAACTAAAAAATCTAAAATTGTGTTAATTTTTGTTCTCAGAATTGAGCTTGTTTTCCTAAAAATCTTCTGGTTTTCTATTACCGTGTACCTCTGTTCCTGAACTTAATTTGTACCAAATTCTGCATAAGATGGCTGCAATCACGTTAGTTACCTGCAGAGTTCATGAACAGAAGCAAAATTTTGCCAAACACAAAGCAAATTTTTCACAAACAAGCACTTGTACATCGAGGCATTACTGTATTTCTATAATCTCACATCCTCCTCTACGTCCAAGAAGAAGAAATATATTCTCTTTGAGGTGAATTGTACTTCAAAATTAGGTCTTTCATTCTTTTTGTTTAACATAGTTCAGCAAATTATCTTTCGCTCTAACTTATTTGCTTAGGTCTTATTCCATTAGCTGAAATAAAACAAACCAGTAAATTAATCTGCAAGGTGAGAAAATTAGTAGAACACTTAATTGACCAACCATAGTCTTATTACATATTACATTGTCTTGGAGATTTTGCTGCTCTCCAAATAGACATTGTGAGAGACATTAAAGCACAATGAGTCTTCTCATTGTCTCTCATCAGATGAGACAGATAATAATAACTCAGTATGAAGAAATGTATTATCAGACACAGAAAATGAGAGGAGACCAGGGGAATAGCTGGAAACGTATGTGAAGACTTTTACCCACAAGATAATTCCTTTTTTTTTTTTTTTTAAACAAAACACTTCCTTCAGGAGCAAAAACTGTTACATGGTTAAGAAAATATTTAGCAAGGAGATGTTCTATAAGTTTGCTAGCTAGAACTCTACCCGAAGAAAAGGATAAAGCCTTTAAAAATAAAACATGTCAATAGGAAACAGGTAAATACTAGACTATATTTCAGAATAATATGTTTTTTTATTACCTACTGTCCCTCCAATCCCTATTCATGTGCCCTCCAGACAAACTGAAGACAAACAAAATATGCAGAGATTTTGCTTAGCTGTAAGGAATATTTTGATAGAAAAGTTACAAAACATTGTATATAGTAGGTTCATAAAGGAAGACCCACAATTTGTCTCTTTAGATTCATCTCTGTAGGTGCCCTTAAGAGATAAAAAAGTAATTTTGTCTCAGTCTGAAATATGGCTGCCTTCCAATAGATCAAACAGGCAGCACAGTATAAATAAATATAAAAATAAAAACCAAACAACTAGAAAATGTCAGGTGTTATAAAAATAGTAATGATCAAGAATTGTTATTTTCCTTCTCTTCTTACTTGAACATTAGTTTCTTTGACTCTTTTTAATAGTTTATTAAAAATAAATCATAGAATAGTAATTCATTAATATCACAGCATAATCTCAGGATGTAATTGAAATATAAAGTACCATCAAGGAAAAATTAGAATTAGGAATAATATAGGCAAAATGACTAACTAGGGATTCGTATACTTGGGTTCTCTCCCTCCCTCCTTTCCTCCCTCACCTCCCCCTCCCCCCGCTGGGGATTGATGTTTCTTTTTGATGTCACAGAAGGAAAAAGGAGATGCCAACAATGCGTGTTATCTTAGGGTTTAGTGCAGAAATGACATCAAGAAACACTTCAGAGATTTTAACCAGAAAGATATTTAATGCGAGGAATTATGTAATCAAAGCAATGTAGGGTCCTACTAGCTGAATTCAGGGGCAGTCATTAGGCAGCTGCCCATCTTCCATAAAACTGTGGAGACTAGAAAGGGGAATTTGAATTAATCACTTAACACTCAGTTTACCAGAGCTCGTCCATTGGCTAGCAGAGTTGTACCGAGAATAACGCTGCTTTCCACCTCCCAAATCTTACAGAAGGAAATATCTTCAGAAGAACCTGAACTACTCGCAAAGTGCCAGCTCCAAGGAATTCTGGGGAACGTAAATTTCAGTCATCTATTTCTCATGATTGGGAGGGAATTTGGAAGAGGATAGAAATGGATGTTGAGTTTCAACAGATAATATATAGAATGCACATATTCTTTCGGCAGAAAAAAGTTACCCCAGTCTGCCGTTAAGCATGGGCATATTAAAAACGTGTCAAAGAACTGAGAGTCGTGTTCACTGAGATCAGCGTGAAGACCGACTACAAAGGGAAGCAGCTCTTCAGACGTGTAGCATGGGCTCGGCCCGGCATGGAGAATGTCCAGGAGAAAAGCGAAGAAGGGATGATCGACATCAAATTGGACAAACCCCAGAAATCCCCGGCCAGTGAGGGCGCTGCTCCTGCTAACGCAGAGCCTGACCCATGGCTTCCTACGCACGACTTGCTTCTGTTGCTTCCTATTAGGGGTGAGAAACAAGTTTACTAAGATGAGAGGATTTTTCTTTTCTGTCTGTGTCTAGGAGTAGGGTGGGATAGGGAGGGAGGCTGGGCATCAGGGATCACATCACCCTTAACAGCTTTTACTTAAACAACTATTTTTGGTTTCATTGTAATATATTGTACTTAAGATTGCCAAAAACTATTAAAATTTAAACAAATTTAAAAAATCAATATACAGAAACTTAGGATTCAGTGAATTTTATTAAAAACAAAAGTAATACTCAGAACTCGTCGCCTCTTAATTATGCACTTTAGTATTATCTATGTTCTTGAAGTTATTTGCATCTATGACATCTGTCTGATGAAAATATTGTGTAGTTGCTACTGAAAAGGTGAACAACAATTTTCAACTTCATTTTCAGTGGTGTAAGTTGAAATCAGGTGGGAGTATTTCTAACATGGAAACTGGAAAAGACACAGTTCAAAGCCTTTAACCTTTCCTGGAGCACAAGTAGTTTAGTAAATATTATTAGCACATCGCTGGCTAAATATATTAGAATTGCATAAGGAGAGAAAAATAAGGTAATTAAGGTTTCAGGTAGCAAGGAATAGGAGGGTCATAAGAGGAATATGTAGGTTATTTGGGTCATGATCAAGGGAGAAAATTGGGAAGTAGAAGAGTCATGAATAATTAGAATTCAGTGCAGTTAAGTATTCATTATACTTGACTATGCCTCTTATTTAGAATCTTACAATTTATAGCATTTAGTCTCAAGAGGAGAATTTAAGCCAATGTGGTCATCCCATGTTGGGATGTCCAAGGCCACACATGGTCCAGACAGTCTCATTCAATTATAGGATAGTTATGATGGGGTCTTTCTGATGACTGATAGGCTTTAAAATTATGATATCATTTGGGAAACATTTGTAGAATTATAAGTTTTCAAGGAAGATGGGGAGAAGTGTGGAGACTTTTAAGGAGTTCTGCATAGTTCAAGAATGGCTGAAGACCAGCAATTTAAACGTTACTTTGCAGGCCAGGCAGTGATGAGTTAACAGTTATCACCACAACATAAGGGAGAGACATACAAAATTTTATCTTCCCATGTGTGTTGTTTCCTGTCATCATTTGACCCGGTGCAAAACAATCATTCAATTATTGGTAATTCTTCACATTGTAAGTTGGCTAGAATATTAATTTGTGTTAATGAGGATATAAACACTTAGGAAATGCTGTAGATTAACATTAGTATTTAAGAAACTTCTTTCAAGATTATCAGAGAGAAGCCTAGGGTGATTAGATGAAGGATTCTTAGAATAAATATGGATTATGTAAACGGATTTCCTGTGATTGAGAAAGTTAACAGAGAAAACTTGATCTATCTCTGTAATTAATGCCAAACTTTGGCTGCAGAAAACAACCCTGAGCTTTTGGAGTCCAGTGAAACAGAATTACATCATAACCCAACATAATTGCTATTTATCCCATTAGTTCATTTGACAAAACACCTGAGGTATTAAAATAAGTCCAAACTGACGTACTATTGTACAGTAAAATTACTTATTTAAAATTATTTATTTGTTTTGTTAGCTGTACTACTAAACATTCATTTTTTAACTTTCAGAGCATTCAAAACTGAGAATTTATTATTAAATTTTATATCTGGAAATGTTTTATGAGAAACACTGAAGATTTAATATGGTTCAATAGTCATGATCATTAAACATTTCCTGAAAGAACCAATATTGAAAATCACTTTTACGATTGTATTTATATTGTCTCTTACTCTAAGGAGCTTCATTTACACTTGTTGGGACTATACATAGGATTAACGTATTTTCAAAAACAATTTGGGCCTAGATCGTAAAATTGAATATTTTCAAGCTCTGCTATTTTGCAATTTGATTCCTAGGTCAATTCCTGAGAGAGTATAAAAAAAGAGGTCATGTAATCACTGATCATAATAACAAAAAAATTGGAAATTCAAACACCCACAGAAGATGAATACATTAGTGATTGAACAGTGACACAACAGAATATTATTTAGTAGTGAAAATAACTGAAGTGCAGCTATGTGGAATACGGCAGAATCTACATAGGGAAGGACATGTCTTTTGAGTAGGTGGAGAGAAGTGGGAGACTCTTTTAAGGACTTCCTCACGGCCCAGGCATAGTTGGTGACCAGCAACTGAAACATTACTCTGCAAGTAATGCAGTGATGAATTAACAGTTATAGGCACAGTGTAAGAAAAATATAATAGGAAGTGAAAAAAGTACTGGAGGACCAGATATAGAACTAGAGGACCATGGCATTTTTATAAGGCTCAGGAAGTAAACCTAAAGAAATAATTTATGGATGCAGACATAGGAAGTTATTTTTTAAAGACGCAAGAGACATCTTCCTTTTTTTAAAAATTTTTTAAATTTTTGGTACCGGGGATTGAACTTAGGACCTTGAACCTGTGAGGCAGGTGGCGGCACCACTGAGCTAAATTCCCAGTCCAAGAACCAAGATACAAAGGTACAAGATCCCAATGATAAATGTAATTGTATTGTTTGCTTTAAATGTACCAATAAATTTAATGAAAAAAAGGGATGATACACAAAATTCAAGACAGTGAGTGAACTGTGGAGGACAGGTAGGTGGTGAGATATAAAAAGAAATCCTAGGCTGGTACAAAGATATTGGTCACAGATCAGTTCTTTTAGTTGGATGGTTGGTTCACAGGCATAGTATTCATGGATAATTACATGTACTTTAAAAAAATTTTGTACCTGGATTGAACCTAGGGCCTTCACAGTGAGATTCTCCAGCCCTTTCCATTTTTTATTTTAAAACAGGGTCTCACTAAGTTGCTGCTGCCTCAGCCTCCTAAACTGTTGGGGATTACAGGCATGAACTACTGTGTGAGCTGCATATACTCTTTTATATGTATAATTTAAAAGATTATAATAGTTATATAATGATAGACCATTATTAAAAGAGCCCTGCCCAATACCTAGTACATAATTTTATGCAAATGGCAGAAACAATTTAATAATATAACTAAAATTGATGATTGGGAAATTTTAAAATGTGCAGAGAGCTTCTATACATATAAAAGTTTTATTTGAGGGGATTTTAAATCACATTCATTATTCAGAGGCTCAGTTGATATATTTGACTTTTATAACTTTGTATAAGGTGGCAAAAACAAAAATAGATGAAGATACCATGGAACATCCTACTGAAAAATAGATTCAGTGGCTTATTTACTTTTTGGTACTGAGGATTGAGCTAAGGATAACTTACCCCTTTTGATTTTTTATCTTGAAACAGGCTCTCACTATGTCTCTAAAAGTTGCCCAGGGTGGGCTGAAACTTGGGAACTTCCTGCCTTAGCCTCCCAGGAATGCACCACTGTGAAAAGCTTTTACAATATATTTAAAGATTTTCTAAACCTAAGAGCTACAACGAAGAAAGCTTTTTCTGAGAATATATTATTTTAAAAGTCATCTATTTATGTTCTTTATATACCTGCAAGGCTGATCTGAGTTACCTGATAGTAGAAAATGGTAATTATTTGGAAACTATTTATGTCCTGAAAACTATTAGTTCTGTGAATATTCCCATGCTACTTGTAATAGGAGAGAGAGAGAGAGAGTGTGTGTGTGTGTGTGTATTATACCAATTCCTCCCTGTGAAACTCAGACCCTATTTCACTTTAGCAACAGATCTTTTAGGAATTTATGTAGAGACAAAGGGTAGTTTATTTGTAGCTGTTTTATGCCCCATAGGTATTTCCAAAGGGTGAGATAAAATTCATTGTTTAATGCTTATCCCAAAGGCTAAAATCAGAATTATGGAGTTAGAATCCATGTATTCTTTTTGAGACTTCTGTAACAAAAATGCACTGAAATATTGCTAGAGAAATATAAAATTATATTAATCATTTCAGTATCAGAGGGTAATTAATGGGTGATAAGAGTACTTGAACTGGTGCTCAGAAGAAATGAGTTTCCAGCTTCTCATCGCTGAGTTACAATATTTAACATCTCTGTTCTTTTTTTTCATATTTATCAACAGAGATATGCTCCTCAGAGGATTGTTATGAGAATGAAAAATCTTTTGTAATCTCAAGGAATATACAAATGTTAGTTTTTCACTACAGAAAGCCCTTTATTTCACTAATATATTAAAAGTCACAGAAAAGTATAAGTTTATTAAGGCATTTTAATTGCCAAGTAAACATGATTTTTTTATAGAAATAGGAAAAAGTTTATAGAGCCTGTTTGAAAAAATATTTTATTGATTTTCATACACATGTAAATATCAAGGCAATATCAGGCTATTTGGACTATTAATTCATTAAGTCAAACCTTAATAATTAATCTCCAGAGAGACAAGTATGACAATCTTTCTTCTTTATTTAGCTGTGGGGAAAGAAGTAAGGTACTTCCTGAGTGTGCGTTCTGCAGTCATCACAGCAGGAATATTGTGAACGGGCTGAATGGGTTTGGAATTGTATTGCCGCTATAGGGCTTACTCTGACTTGTAGTTCTGAAATCTTTAGAAGCTTATCCACAAGTTACTTTTGCTATGGAGAAATAGTTTTATATACAAGACTAATACTCAAAGTGATTTGATACTTTACAGTAAGAAATACTGCCAACTTTACCTCATAATAACATGGTTACATCACCTTCCTTACAGTTCCTAAGAACTTTTGAAATCATTATCTGATTTTGGTACCTCTTGGCCTTTGAAAAAAATGACCTAATTTATCTTACTCTATTTCCTCTACCAGGTGGAAAATATCAAAAAAGTGTAAAACAGATCAGGATAACATATCCTAGTTTGAAAAAATAACATTCTGTTAACAATTCTTCATATTTCTTTCCCATCTTTTCTATGCATGTTTGTTACTGGGATAGTATTGTATATGCATTTTAAACACTTAAGTTTTTTTTCTGGTTATGAAGGAAAACAACGCCTTTTTGTAGAAAGTTTGGCAAGCATACACAAAATATACACATCTAAAGCAAAAACTGAAAACTAAAAAGTGTAAGTCACATACGTATACTGTAGTTAACCACTGTGAACATTTTGGTGTATTTCCTGTCAATAATTATTTATTTTTAAAAAAGAAATCAAAGCAGAAGAGCTTGGGAGGACAGAAAGTGACTTGGCTGGAATCAGGCAGCCTCTGCTGTCCAGGCCAGTGGACTGGAAGAAGCAGATCAGCACTCTTCTTCCTGGACAGGGGTAGCGAGAGGAAATATTTTCCGTTAAAGCTCGCTGGCTTATTTCCGTATTCCAAAATGACTCGTACATTTTTCTTTTCTTGCACCGATTCCCTCTTCAAAGCCCACCGATGCCTGCCTTCATTTGACGGTTTTTTGGGATCCCGCGCTCTTCGCCGCGGGTCACCTCTGCTTACCGGGACTCCCGCCCCTACTTCACCTTCTACCAGGATTGAGGAGGCAGGAGACCGCTACTTCGCTGCTTCTACCTAACTGGCAGTCAGAGCCTTCGCCCCACGGCAGGAGCGCCGAAGGTCCCATTCGGAAGCTCCGGATCTCGCTGGGAAAGGCTGCGACCAGGAAAAGCCTTGGTGGCCGCTGACTTCCTGTTCCAAGGGAGGGCGGCCATTCCACGCACTCGGGAGATTATCATCAGAGCGTGTGGCTCTAAATCCCCCATTCTGCAGTTCTCGAGCGGGATCCCAAGATCGCTGTCAGCCCTCGGGAGATCCCGGCAGGCATCTGTTGTGGATCGCCGAGGCGCTGCCAAAGGCAGAATCCTCGCCTTGTTTTGCGAGTCCACAGAAGTGCGTCCCTTCTCGCTTGCCTTACGCTCGGCGAGGCGCGGACCGCACTATCCTGCAAGCTGCCGGAGGGGGGACACTCATGCGCGGCTCTCTCTGCTGGCTAGTGAGAAGCAGCGCTCCGCCCCAAACCAACGCTTATCCTAGTAGGAATAGCATTATTTTGTCTCAGGAGCCCGTAAAAAGGTAGGAATAATCATCTGCAAGAGTTAGGCCACAGAGACGCCCCGTCCCTCCCCGTCGGTTCGCCTGGACCACCAGGGAAGCCAGTGCGCGGGGCTCCTCAGCCTCCGACGGCTCGGTGCGAGCGCCTCTGGCTCTCGGAGCCGGCTCCTGAGCGG